GACCCAGAAGAAGGGTTTCAGCCTCGTCCAGCCCCAACCATTGCAGGCATTTGAAGAATGAGCCAGTGCCTTGAGGCAGGAGCTTATTCTAATCTCCCACATGGGTCCAGGGGCCCAAGCTACATTATACTATATATACTCTCCACTACATTCCCAAGCTCATTAGCAGGAAGCTGGATCAGAACCAGAACAGCTGGGACTCGAACTGGTGTCCATACGGGATGGCAGCAGTGCTGGTGGCAGCTTTGCCCATGACACCACAGCACCAGCCCCTACATACATATATAAATCTTAAAAAGGAAAAAAAGGAGTGGGTGGGTGGGGCTGGGCTTTCGGCCTAGTACTGCCTGGGATGCCTACGTCCTGCACTGCAGTCCCTGTGTCTGTGTCTAGGTTCTACTTCCAACTCCAGTTTTCTGCCAAATGCACACTCTGGAAGGAAAATTACTCAAATACATGGGTCCCTGCAGACGCAATCTTAGATACAGATGGAGTCCATAAAGTAATTTACATACATTACTGGGATTTTTAGTGTTTCTCTCCCATTTTGCCATAAACTCAATAAAAAAAAAAAGAAGAAGTTAAGCATTTCTTGTTCCCCACCAGATAAGATTTAGCCTCTGCATGACACATGGTAAGTAGGTTCTCAACAAACATTTGCTAAATAAAGAAAATATAATGGCCCCTTTTATTATCATTTTGATATTCCCTTCCCTGCTTTACTTTGCCTTGTTACTATTTTTTTTTTTTAAGATTCATTTATTTTTATTGGAAAGGCAGATTTATAGTGTAAAGGAGAGATAAAGAGAAAAATCCTCCACCTGCTGGTTCACTCCCCAAACAGCCATAACAGCTAGAGGTATGTCAAATCAAAGCCAGGAGCCAGGAGCTTTCCCTGGGGACTCCCACATGGGCGTAGGGTCTCAAGGCTTTGGATCATCCTCCACTGCTTTTCCAGGCCATAAGTAGAAAGCTGGATCGGAAGTGAAGCAGCCAGGACACGAACTGGCACCTGTGTGGGATCCTAGCATTTGGAGGTGGAAGATTGGCCAGTTGAACCACCACACTGGTCCCTACTTTATTTCTCTGTAGTCTTCAATATTAATTTGATTTATTCTAACTCTTCATTATCAATCTACATTTTAAAAAAACTTAACAGGCAAAAGAGACAGATGCAGATCTCCTACCTGCTAGTTTATACTCCAAATGCCTGCAATAGTCAAGACTGGCCAGGCCAGTCTCTCATATGAGTGGCTAGGAGTCAACTACTTGAGCCATCATCTGATGTTTCCCAAGGTACATGTTGACAGTAAGCTGGAACTGGGAGTCACACCCATATATGGGTCATGGGTGCTCTGGTTAATGTCTCAACCACTAGACAAAATGCCCATCCCTGAACATCTGTTATTACCATGGATTTAGAGTTACGTAATTTCATTAATTATTACTCTAGAAACCCTCCATAAATCTTTCTATAATGTCTACATTTTAATTTCTCTCCTTCAAAAACACAGATATTATGAGGCCTGATTCCATCAGAATCTTCCTGTTTTCGACAAAACTGTATCTAAAATTCTTAGTAAAGCAGTAAAGTACTCCTCAGATTACCGATGGCTTATCACTCTGTCCATATCTTTGGTTCCACCACACCAGGCTACTTATCTCTTACGCCTCTGTTTCGTCATACTTTTTCTCTTGTGTTCAGCACCTAACAAAACGCCTTCCCCATACCAGCTCAGTAGATGTTTGTGGAAGAGATTATACTGCTTTTCATGATGCAAGTTAAGATTTAAAAAATCTGTTTCATAATTCCAAATTTTATTTTATGCATTTTAATTAGATAATACTGAGACTGATGTTAATATTTTAATCATCTTTTTCCTTTTTTATGTATTTTGTTAGATAGCAATGCTTAGACTGATGTAACATTTTAATTATTTTTTCCTTTTTTTCTTCTCTTATTTTTAAAGTTTTTTTTTTAAGTTATTTTATTTTAATGATACAGACACAAAGAGATGGATGGAGAGAAAGAGTTTTTCCACAGACTGCTTTACTCCCAAACCTCCACAACAGCGTAGCCATGGCAGGCTGAAGACAGGAACTTAATTTGGTTCTTCACAAACAGGGACCCCTATACCAAGGCCATGATCCGATGCCTTGCAGGCAGTTAGCAGGGAGCTAGCTCAGATGCAGAGCCTGGACTCCCACTAGGGAGGCTGATATAGGATACAGGTGTCCCAATCTGCATCTTAGCACTAGCCCCAAACATGTGCCACTTTCCTTATTTTTTTTTATTTGCTTTCAAATATTATTTAAACTTTTGTTAACTGACTTTTAAATTGCATTGAATACTTTCTGTATCCTACACTTTGGTCATTTTTTTTTTAATCTAACTATACACATTCAAAGAGATAGCCTAGGTTTTCTCCCAACACCATCACACCATAAAACCCCTGAAAGCAAGAACCTTCTCTGACCTTAAACCAATATTCTTAGCGTCTAGTACATGTGTGAGCATTAGCTCAGGCACCTTTTACGGCTTTCCTTCTCTGCATTCCCACATTAAGGAGTTGGTAGGCAGATTACCCTTGGGAGAACAATGAGTAAAAATATGCACGATGGTTAGGATCAATTAAATACCACAGGCCAGCGCTCCTGGTACACATAAAGGCATTCTAAAAGATATAAACACAAGTCCCATCTTTGAGGCCTATGAACACACACAACTCAACACATAACTTCAATAGGTATACTACAAGTATGCATTAAATGGCCGAGAAATCTTTACATTGGTAAATTGGTTAGGGGCAGGAGGCAGATAAAGATAAGGAAACCAAAACCCAGACAAACCACAGCAACTTCTTTGAGGCCACAGGGACAGGGGGAAGGGCGTGGCAGCACAGCAGTGACGCTATGTAGGATACCCACGTCCCTTGTCACAGTGCTGACTGCGCTCTGCATACTTTCAATCCCGCTCAGAGGGAGCTCTGGGCCCCTGGCTGCCGATCTAGCCCTGCCCTGGCATTGGAGGAGAAAGCCAGCAAATGGAAAATTTGTGTCTGACCTCTCTCTCTCTCTGATATTTTGGCTTTCAAGTAGATAAAAATACATAGGGGTCTGTGTTGTAGTGGGTTAAGCCACCTGCAATGCCAGCATCCCTTAAAGGCACTGGTTTGAATCCAGCCTGCTCTATTTCCTATTCAGCTCACTGCTAGTGCATCTCAGAAAAGTAGAAGATGGCCCAATTGTTTAGGCCCTTGTACCAATGTGGGAGACTGCATGAATTTCCTATCTCCATTAGCCTGGCTGGTGAGAGTATTTGGGGAATTAATCAACAGTGAAAGATTCTCCCCAACCTTCACCTCTGTCTTTCAAATAATGATAATAACAATAAATTTTTTTAAAAAGATCACAAGACTAGAGATCATAAAACAAGATGAGTTCTATGCTGGTTCCACTATACCACACTCACTATCAGTAATGCTCACAAGGGAATAACAGGTTAAGATTCAGAGCTGCACAATAAAATTGGGAGATTAATGCATCCTTTCCTATTTCCATTAACATAAATAATCAAGGACTATACAATATTGCAAAAAGGTACCATGTTGTTTAAGCAGCTTTCTGGTTGGTTGGTCTGCATAAAAATTATGCAACATAAGTACTGGTCAAATTAATTTCTTTAACAGATTCAAATGTCCCATTCCAACTAGTGTGACTAACTTACTTACAGAATAAACTACTAAAGCTGTATTAACCAATATATTTTAAATTATTACCAGAGGCTTGCAACAAATCTTTTTCAAAGGAAGCCCAGGAGCAGGCATTTTGACATACTGGGTAAAGCTGCCATCTGCAACAGGTGCTAGTTCAAGTCCCAGCTGCTCCACTTTCCATCAGCTCCCTGTAATGCACTTGGGAAAGCAGCAGCAGATGGCCCCACAGCTTGGAACTCTGCAGCCACGAGAAAAACCCAGATAAAGCTCCTGGCTCCTAGTTTCTGCCTGGCCTAACCCTGGCTGTTGCAGCTGTCTGAGAAGCAAAAGGTTAGATTAAAGATTCTCACTCTCTCCTTCTATAATTATTTCAAATAAACAAGTAACTCTTTTTTAAAAAAAGAAGTCCAAGACCAAGAATTTCCCAGCTCTTCCAAAAAAGTGGTATTGTGTAGCCTCTAAGTATCAACATCAGGACAGAGGTAACATCCTCTTGGGAGCCATTACTGCCTGTAGGCTTTTCTACACTTCTCTATATTACCCATGACGTCTGCTACCAAGCAACCACTCGCAGTAATTTGCTTTGCTCACAGATCTTGACCTCTCAGCCCTGACTACTGGAGTAGCGGGTTACTTAAACCTCCCCTCTCCTAGTATAAATTCTTCAGCTGCCACTCTCAATTACACATCAGTCTCTGGTTGCTTCGCTAGCGGTTAAGAACCCAAGAATCTGCTTAGTTCTAACAGCAGTGTAGAAAAGAAGTTTAAAATCTGAAAAAAACACTTAGATTAAGATCCTATTCTAAACTCAAGACTAAAAAAAAAAAAAAAGTGGGAGGTCACAGGCTGGATTTAGGCCCCAAATGGATTTAATGTGAATTGTATGGTGATGAGGAACAAGAGAGGTAGAAGGAGAAGTAAGAGACAAAAACCACCCTCTTAACAGTCTGGAAATTTCACATCTTTATTTCCAGCTTTCATTGAAAATTCTGAAACTCTGGTAACACCAGGCCCAATACTCTCACCATATGACAAACTGCCCAGGGCTATATTACCCATTGCCCCATCACTTTGGGACACCTGCCCTTTATTTAATAGTCCAACCCTTGCTACTGATACCGTAGCCAACTGCCATTTCTATCATTACACTTGCACTTATGCTATTGTTATAAACTCCAACAGATAATGCCACACTTGGTGGATACACACGAATCTTTGAATAGCATAACCCACCCTTCATATGAACGCAGCGAAACAAAACTAGAATCAAAGAAATCTATTTACCTTAATCTGAGTCTGTTCGATGGACTTTTCCCATATCTGCTGGTCATACGCTCCAATCTGCAACAGGGAGTAGGCCATTTATACAGCGCAGAGGAAACGCTCCTATCTAAGGCAAGCCTCCAGAAAGGTCACGGAGCCAGTAAGTATCCAGATGATGACTGGGTAATGTTTGTGCTTCTCAGATTTAAAATAATACCTTGCACAGGCTGATTCCTTCAAAACCCTATATCAGTTAGCTTCAAAATTAAGCTTAAAAACCTAAAGCTCAAGTGAAACGTTCACGTCAAGGCTATTTCCCCCCTTTGAGGAAAACGAACCCCCAAAAGGGTAAGTCAGCAAGACTGTTGACTATACCAGGCTCCCACCGCGCAGCCCCCCGTCGCCCGTTCTTTGGAAGCCCACTAAGTTTCATCATAAGCCAGCGTGCTGGTGGCTGTGCATGTAAGCTGGGCAAGGGGGTCGTGGAAAAATCCTATCCTAGAACCCGAAACTGGCCTTCAAAGGCATAACGACCTCAAGCATCCATTTTCCCATTGATACTGACACATCACAGAGGAATACCCGGCTTCAGCCAACTAACATGATACTCTTCAAAGAAGCCTTTTTGTTTTTTCTCCTGGAGGGGAGGGAGTACCAGAAAACACACTTAAACAAAACATATTGATGTTACCTTCTTTTGGTACCACGATATAGCATCTCTCTCATTTGAGGCCATCTGTGTCTCCAGCCAGGAGGATTTCACTGAAAATGAAGAAAAACCCGTGGGTGAGGCCGGTCCCCGAAGATCACTCTCCCGACTCCTCTCAGCCTCGCCATGAGCGGCTGTTTGCCAGGGAGAAATACAAAAATACTGGCGCAGTGGCGGCCGAAGCCTCGGCAGTATCTGTGAGGGGGGGAGGGCACCCGTCGCGGGAGCAGGCCTCCCCGCCTCCCCGCCGCCCGGCGTCCGGCTCTCTCACCTGACGCCCGCGACCCGCCGGCCGGTGGCCGGGACCGTCCTCCTCAGAGGCCCCCGGCCGGCCGTGAGGCCCCGGGCGAGGCGACCGGCCCTGCAGGCCGCATCTTCCTCCCGAGGCGGAGACGCCGGCGGGGCCGTTACCATGGAGACCGCGGCGGCCACCGGGAGCTCGCTGGCAGCCGACCGCCAGGCAGCATCCTGAGGGAGGGGAAGTCTGTGGCCACCGACCAGGCGCGCTTCGAGGCCTGCCCACCGGGTCACCGGACTGACCAGAAAAATAAGCCAAGAATGAACTGGGGCATGAGGTACAGGGAAAGCGAAGGGATAATCGCTAGCTCGCCAGTCGCACGGCAACGACAGGACGCCCTGTGCCGGGTAGGAATGCTCAGGTGCAAAGTCCCCCAGGGCCCTGGGGAAGGCGGGGCGGCGGCGCTCGTCCTCCGGGACCGGGCCGGGCTGATTCCGCCGGCTGACAGCTGGGCCACCGACGACGTGCGGCCGGGCTCGGCTTGGCTTCCGCTTTCCGGCTCGGGCAGCCCGGGTGGCTCCGCCCCTGGCCCGGACCTTTCCGCCGAGCCTCAGGCCCCGCAGGGGGATGCAGGCGCTGAAGGCCACTGACCGCGAGCTGCACCCCTCTCGTTACCCCTAGGTGCTCAGCCCGAGTCACTGCCTCGGAAAAGGTCTTTGGAGGTCGGCCCTGCTAGGCTGCCCGTTCCGGGTTGGTGTCATTTTATTTTCCCCGATTCCCGATTTAAAACCTGCCCTCCGCCAGCTCGCTTGGAGGTGCTGTTTGTGAATTCACGCTGGCCTGGGACTGCAGGCCTGGCAGGGCCAGCGGATCAAGGCTTACCGACTCCTTGGCGGCTCTGGGACTGGAGTTTTCTGATGCTCAATGGTAAGGGAGGGGGGACATCAAAGCTTAGGCCTGGAGCTGTCTACCATGTGTAAAAGGGAGGTGGCAAGGGAACGGTTTCGCGACGTCAATCAAGCTCTGTATACCCCCAACACACACACACCACCAAGGGCAATTATAGGCCCCTAAGAAAACTGTAGAAGGATCAAGCAGGCCGATAAAAACCAGGAGGAACACTTGCGCTCTAAATTTACTCATGGACAAGTTCGTGTGAATAATGCAAAAAGCGCTTCCTCCTCTTTGTACTTGTTCTGTCTCGTTTGAGTAGGGTAAAAAGCTAATTGAGACACTGTCTACCCTTTGAGAATGCCAGACATTATTTCTTCGAAGCTACTGAATCGGAGTCACCGCCAATTAAGAGGAAAGTCGATGTGGATCAAGGGTCGGCAGAACTAACTCTAAGGTACTGGGGACAGTCGTGGGCAGTCTTTCCTCCTCCGCTCCTGGACAGCTTACTCCCTGCCTCACAGCTCAACAACAGTTCTGCCTGGCTTGGACACAGCGGGAAGCTAGGAGCTTGGAAGTCAGCACTGCATCCATATCCCGATGTGGACTTAATTTAGCCAACTTAACATGTCATTCTTGTGTTAGGGAAGGAATGAATCTTTCTGCCAGGAGCTGGATGCCCGCTCATTCACACCACGTGCCTGAAGTCAGGTGCTTGTTCAGTAAATGTTACTTCCCTTGTTTTTCCTCTCCAGCACCAACGGCAATCTGATTAGCACAGGTGTACCTCAAAGAGGTCATATCAACAAAAAGTGATGAAAAAAAGGATCCACTGGGTTGTGTCATATGACATACATCAGTGAAACCCAAAAAGTCTATACTCCTCGACCAGGATAAAAATTAAAACAGTTCTCTTACAAGCAGATATAAACCAATATAACTAGCAAGAGGCGTAACTGCCCCCAGTGTCAAGTAGGATTTTTTTATTCTCTGAAAAGTTAACTGCACTTCAATATGGAAGGAATTTTCTCCAAGCATGATTGACCTCTTTTTTAGAGATTTTCCTAAAAAACATTTTTAAATAACATGAGGGGGTGATTAGTTCTGATTAAGAAAGATTCCACATATCTAGAATTTACATGTGCTATTCACTTTGTGATAAATCATCAGTAAAGGACAAATCAGACTTTGTTTATTAAAAAAATACTTTACAGGAAAAAAAAATCTCTATGCATTCCATTGTCCTATTTTACAAAGAAATAGCTTAACAATTTAACACACTTAGACAGCTACAAAAAAGCACTGTGTTAAAAGGATTATTATTATTCACACAAATTTAGATTTAAGACTATTCATTAAAAACCTTTTTAAAACACTCGTTAATGTCAAAAAACAAACTAAGGCCACACAACGCAAATAGTCCGCCAGGCAAATTATACATTTCATCTATATGCAAAGACCTCTTAGATAAATTAAAGCCACAGGAAAAAAAAAAGTCTTAGCTGCCAATCAAAATGGAGTTTAGTCACAGAAAACACTATTACATGAAAATTTACAACGTGTGATAGTAGTACATAAGTATTTCTTTAGAGAGAATTGAAAAGTGCTATATTTTTGAGAGACAGTGGTCTCAACTACATGCACAAGTGGATCCTAAAAAATGTCATGAAGAAAAATGGAAGGCCATAATATTTATGGAGAGATACTTGCTTTTAAAGCAACAAACTTTCAAGATGAGGAGACGTTCCTTATGTGCTACAGGAAACATTTGTTCTGTGCATTTCCTCTACTTGCATGACCAATAAATAGAGCTACAACCTGTTTTGAAAATATTATAATCTAGCCCACACGTGAACCTCTGGCATGTGCTAGTGAAAGTTTCCTCCTCTGGAAACCTGTAGCAATGATCCAACAGATTGACTAACACAAACTCAATTATCCTAAAGTATAAATGAAAATAAAATTTCAATGGCAAATACAGATGAAAATATAATGGGCTAATACTAATGATTGAGAATATATTCAGTAAGGATTTTCATGGATTTTGGAGTCTTGTTCCTATATTAGCTTTCATTCTAGATAATAGTATTTATATAGGGAAAGGCAATAAGCAAAAGTCTCTTCAGTCTTTAAAATGACCTTTTATGTCTGTTAAGACTGATGCAAGACATCTTTTTCTAAGATTTAGTAAAGAATTTTATTTAATCAGCTCCTTTTTCCCCCTACAAGAGCTTGTAATATTAGTCAACTGATATTCCAACTGTCTCTAAGGGGAAAAGGCACTTGCCAAAAGTCTTTAATTACAAATAATAAAGTACAAGTTAAAACACATTGTAAGTACTCACGAAGCAAATTAAAAGTACAATTAGGCCTACAGATTCAATTTTAGAGTTAAAAACTTTGGAAGGGGGAAACTAATATGTAGGTTATTATTATTGCTTTATGAATTTGGGATCCTTCTTTGAATCATAATCCTTCCTAGCATATCTTGGTAATTATAGAATGACTTCCAGGGCAGGGGAAGACATTTATCCTTCTTAATGGATACCATAAAATCATTCTTTTATTTAAGGTAGGAATATTCATGTATTGGGTCTTTTCCATAAGCACATTTTAAAAATATCCCTCTGCTCCACAAAATACTAAAACATATACCCACATTCTGCAAGTAATCTCAAGAGTTGGCACAACAGATAATATACCAAAAAGGAAGATCAGCTTAAGTTTCAGTTAACAACTTCACTGCCATCACTACTTTACAAATTAGAAGACGCCAGATTGTTCCATGCCTCACTCTACCAAACCAAATAATTTAATGATTTAGAAAAGTTGCAGTCACTTGTATCAATAAACTAGGATACAGTTTTGAAAGCAGTAAGAAACTCAAAACTGCTTTTATAGTAATCAGTCTTTAAAGCATGCTATTAAAATCTATTACTCACTCACATAGGACATTCAGTGTTTCCAGATACATTACTAGCTAAATGTTTCTCTCCTTTCTATTGCAATTCTAACATACAATGAATTTATTAGTACATGATTTTAAACATTTTTAGTATTCCTTTAATGTGTTTATATTGGAGGTGAGGGTAAATGTTTTGTAAAAGGAAAACAGGGCTTTACTTTTGATTGTAGGTCTTTGCAGATCCGCTGGTTCCTGAGTGATTGTACACAGTGCTGGCTCTCAGGAGACAGTATCCTTGTGTATCAGTAATGACCAGCTTAGATGACAGATGGCATCTGCTGGATGGCAAGTGGGAGATGGGGAAACTGGATCTTGGAAGACAAGTAACATAAAAATAAACACTTTTTGCTTTAACAACCTTGCTCTTCATGATTATTTTAAAAAGCAAATGTTGCCTGAGAAGAATTTTACTTTGCACAGCCTGGTAAAGCTCTATGAAATTCTTCTGGACAGAAAAAAATAAAAACAAGAAGTAACTCAAACTCACACACTTTGTGATTAACCTCCTTCCCCACAAAACAACAACAAAATATACCCTCAAAGGCAGGTCCCTTAAAAACTAGTCTTGATAAACTAGAATTTACCCTAGAATTTATACTCAAGATTTAAAAACACCCCTGCAATAATCACATTATCGTTCATATCATTCTAATTACCTTATTTACAGAGATAACTAAAAGCAACATCACTTCCAATTCATAAATGGTTTACATTAAAATGTTTCCCTATTTGTCTTCACCCTTTGTAACAGAGAATACATACGTACATATATATATATATATATAAGGAATAATACAGGTCCTAACTAATCACTGCAGTATTTGTTGATGGTTACTCTTCTATCGGTTTACACAGTGACCGCTATACTTTGCTAATATGCATTTAACTACACAACAATATTGCACAAAGTAATATTTATATAAGATTTAAACTATTTCAGAATATTTTAGAGAAAATTCATATTTGATATTTCAAAAGATGCAGCTATGTTTTCATGGTGACAGACATTATAAAGCAGCATCTTCTTTTTTTTTTCTTTTTTGCCTATGTTAATGTAGCTATTTCAAATCTCACCATCCAAGAAAAAAAATCTTCAAATTGCACTGAAACCAGGTAGATACAAGAATCTGGTCTTAGGTGTGGGGAGTACTCTTCCTTTAATAAACAAAAGGCCTATCATTGTATGATTAACTAAGAGAAAGCGTGATGTGTATCACATTCACATTCTAAAATAATAGAAAGACCATACTAGCTATATGAATTGTGCCTGTTGGAAAAATTAAAAAATTTAATACTCAGGCACTAACCATTAGGCTACTGGAAATGCTACTGATGAAATCTAGTGCCATATTCTTCATTAGAAAACAGCAACACAGTCATAGTAAATAAACCTAGGCATTCACCAGTTAAAACTGAACTTAAGTTTCTTGACAGCAGATATTTATATTGAAGAGGTTGATGCCAAGTAACCAAAATAGTTTTTTCTAAGTTTGATGCTAAGTTTGGCAGCCTCATCAGAAAGGCTGATATCATTTGAAATCTCCATGTCTGATACTTGTGATCCATTTAGGAAGTAAAAGTGTCCACACGGAATGTGAGGATGCTAGGAAGCAGAACAGTGTGTCATGTCAACATTATCTCTTTTACCTGAAATAATCCTCCATTGCTACCGTATATTCTAGAAAAGATTAATGGACCATGGGTAATGAATGACCAAGGACTATTTATCTTTAGATTTTTTTTTTTAATTGAAATATCCAAATACCCACTGGGCTTTAAAGTAACAGATACAAAAATAAAAGTTTGGATAAGAAAGTGCTGTGCTTTCTCTTTTGTTAAGAAACCAGAGAGCCACTGGATTTTCCTTAGAAACGAGTCATTCTTTGTGGTTAGAACTGAATAACTTAACTTGCCCATGAAACAGATGCAGGAACTCTTCCTGCAACCTATGCCATTTTTACCATGGAAAACTGAATTTTGTGCCATAAAGACACAAGTACTAAATCATAAATGTGATGATAAAAATATGGCAAGAGACAAGGCAAGATAAAAATTAAGGGGAAGTGAATAATTTACCAAATAAGAATCTGTTATTCCAGAGAATTCTCATTTTGATTTAAAGAAGAGATTGAATTGTTACCTCACACCTTAAAACAGAAAGTAGCAGCAGACCCACTATTACATACTGTACTAACAGGATAAGATACAACTCTTAACTTTGCATAATCTGTGTAAAAAAGATATGCTTGACATTTGTGGAATGTCATTTCTCTTTATAGAATTATAGGCAAGATTTCTCCAATAAAACTTAACTTAAGCCAGTTATAAAACTATAACTTCACATCAAAATTTAAAAAAGTTAAAAAATGTGTTTGAATATGTACATATCACACAGGAGTGCTTGAATGTTCCTGCAGCTTGTGTGGCTGGTCAGAGTCCAGTCTACTTTCCACCTTGAAAACTGGAATAGGCTGAGTCTTCTGATCTTGCTGGAGATTAAGTTCTGAGGAAGGTGGGAAGGACGACGAAGCAGTGGTCAAAAGCTGCATCTCTTTGCATGTTTCTTCAGATTCAGTTTTTATTCTCACACACTGAGGGTCAACCTCTAATTCTCGCTTTCCAGGTAAACTACAGTCCTTGGAATTGCTTTCTGTGTTTTGAGTGGCTTCCACAACAGGGTGGTACTGTTTAAGCCTTATATGCCAGGCTAGGCTGCACACTGCTGACACTGTTTTGAACTGATGAATGACATTTCTAGGGATGAAGTAGATATCATTGTCACAGAGTTGAATTCTAGCATAACGAATGCCTTCCCGTCTCATTTGGTTTAGTTTAGCTTCATCCACCCACTGTACACACTGAAGGAAAGGAAAAAATTACATGAGACTTTAGTGTATGTAATAATTCAGGAAAACAAATTTCACAACTTTTTAGCAGAGGGAAACAGTACGTAAAGTTAAATAACGCTAAGTGATATAAAAATTGCTAAAATATCTTGTAATGCTTAAAAAAATTTTGCCACATTTTTTACTACCTTTCTATTAACAAAGTACAAAAAAGTTAGATGGTCTAGAGAATCAAGTAAGTATTTCAAAACACAGTTAAGTATCACTGTTTATTGCCACACATAGGGACAAAATTTTGTCTTGTTCCATGCCTTTCTTAGTTAATGGCCCTTAGTGTTCATGGCCAGAAAAGAGCAGGAAGGACAAGTGAATCATCCCAACCACCTGACCTCCTTAAGACTGAAGGCTCTCAAGCATCCTAGACAAGCTGCTTCCTTCTCTTTCCTATAACATTTAATAAAAATATCTAATTCACCCAATGTATCCAGCTATAAAATGTAAAATAAAACAATATAACAACTTATGTCTAGTATCTCTCGCCCCAAGATTAATGCAGTAGTTGTTACCTGGGAAACTGGAGGTTCATGAAGGTCTAACTGAAGTCTCTGTACAACATCAGCAAAATCCTCAGCATGAAAACAAATCACATCTTTGGTTATGCGTGGCTGGTCACTCCTAATATTGATAAAATCAAGTTTTAGCAACAAGTATCTCAAAATAAAATATCACAAAAAATTCTAGTTTTCTAGTCACTGCAAATGCCACTAAGAGCAAAGAAAAAGATGCAAATTGTCTAAGACTAAGCATACATTGAATTCTTTAATCCATTTTCTCAAAAATGAAGACCAATAAAACAAAAATCTACAAAATTCAGATGTTACAAATTTAAAATACCAATGACTAAAAAGAATAGCTTTCTTTTAAGCCAACTTCCTTTTCAGTTTTCTTATCAGTCTGCAATTCTATTTCCTTAGGCTTATTAAAATACCACAAAGTAAATATAAAATGGTACACCCACTATGGAAAACATTAGTCTGGTAGCTCATCAGAAAATTAATACTAGAGCACATAGGCATTTGGCCTCTTGGTTAGGATGTCAGGTTGGGATGCCTACATCCTTTATCAAATTACCTCGGTTCACATCCTAGCACCACTCCTGATTCAAGCTTCCTGTCCAGATACACCATGGAGGTACAAGGTGATGGATCAAATAGATGGTCCCAACCACCCACACTGGAGACCTGAATTGAATTCCTGGCTCTCAGCTTCAAACTTTCCCAGCACCAACTGTGGTAGACATTTGGACAGTTACCCAGAGGGCTGGAATGCTCTATCTCTCTGCCAAATAATAATAATTTTAAACAAATTAGATTGCTAATGATGCAGTAATTCCACCGAGTATAACACAACCCTTATTGATGTGGTTAGACTGTTGGCTACTCTTCTCTCAGAAACAAGAAGAAAAAAAAAGTTGGAAGCAAGTGTCTCATTCACTTTTCGCCAATCCTCGACCTTCCCCACCCTGATTGGTGATCCACAAGGGTATACATCTATCTCAACTATGTAAACATCATCAAAAATAAAAGATAATATACCCCAAAGACCTAGTTGGAAAAGGTACACAAAGGATATTTGATACCCATGTTCATTGCCAAATAGTCTAAAGATATAAACAACTCAAGTGTCTAGTAATGAATAAATGGATTTCAAAAATGTGGGGTGCATCATAAAAAGGACTGTATTCAGCCTTAAGAAGGAAAGAAAGTCTGAGACTTGCCAATATGAATTACATGGATATTTTGCTAGTTATATAAAGACAAATACTGTACGGTATCCCTTATATGAGAGATCTAAAGTAGTCAAATTCATACAAACAGTAAAATCACAGTTACCAGAGCCAGGGAGTAAAAAGCACAGGGGAGCTGTTTAATTAGGAAGTACAGGGCTTCAGTTTTATAAAATGAAAAAATTCTGGAAATCTGCTTTACAACAATGTAATTATAACACTAGAGTATATACATTTTCAAAAGAGATTATTTGTTGAAAAGTGATAGAAAAAAAGGGAAGAGGGAGACAGAGACCAGGAGCTACATCTGGGTCTCCCCATGGGTACAGTGGCCCAAATACTGTGTTGTTGTGTATTGCCTGACCAGTGCATTAGCAGGAAGGCCAATCAGAAGCACAGAGAAACTAGGGCACTTCGACAGGGGCTGTGGCTATCCCAAACCAATTTAACCTGTGTTACCACAACACTCACTCCTACAATAGGTATTTTCAAATGTTCAGAGGCAAACATAATGTGTGTCTTACCAAATTTATAAAACTGTTCATCAACCTTTTAAATGGAGCCCACATTTTCTTAGACACGATTAATGAACCTTGTAGTTGAGTTCCACTAACTTACCATTCACCAAACTGTACAGCTTTCAAAACCCCAACAGCAGCCGTACTCTGCCAGTCAAACCCCTGACCTACATGATCAGCATGAGCTCTTGTCCTATCTTCAAAGAGAACTTCACGGGGCTCACTGGTCCGAGGTAGGTACTGGAGATTTTTAATTTCATTCATTGATCTAGAGTTGATATGTTGCAAGGAAAGGGGAAAAAGACAAACATTAATAGCAGTGAAAATAAAATCCTATTAGACACCAGATTTAATTTAAGGTGGGAACTGAAGGTTCAGTGATATTTACCACTAACATTTAACATGCTATATTGTAATGTCAATGATTACCTCCCTTCCTCCCTTGAAGGCCATAATAAAGCAGAAGCTATACCTTTGATTAGGCTCAAATACAGTATTTGGACATGTAAACTTCATTATCCTGTGACAAAAAAGAAAAAGGCTAGGGCTTTGTGTGTCTTTACTCTTACCCATCTTTATTTTCCTCAAAATATTTTATGAGACTTTTCTACAGAAATTTATTTATCAGGACTGGTGATGCTGCCATCCCATACGGACACAGATTCACATCTGATTGTTCCACTTCTGATCCAGCTCCCTAATAATGTGCCTGGGAAAGCAGCAGAGAATAGCCCAACTCTTTCAAATAAAAAAATAATCTTAAAAAAAAAACCTATGTATGTGTATATATGTATTTACTTGCTTATTTGAAAGGTAGAGTGAAAGGGGTAGAGAAAGAAGTATTTTCCATCAAGTGATCATTCCTTGAGTGTTCACAATAGGTCAGGTCTGGGCCTTTCCAAAGTAAGGAGCCAGAACTTCATCTTGGATCTCCCACCTGCATTACAAGAACCCAAGTACTTGGGCCATCATCTACTGCCACTTGGCCATGTTAGCAAGAAGCTAGACTAGAAGCAGAGGCAGGACTTGATCCCAGCCACTCCGAAATGGGATGCAGTATCCCAAGTGGCAGCTTCACCTGCCTGCACTACATTGCTTGTCCTAACCCTATTAGATCTTAATTCAAAATGAGCATTCCTATGATCTCCACACAGTAAAATGAAAGGGAAAGACTTCAAACTCATATTAAAAGTGGGGGAAGACAGTGGTACAATGGATATAAGAATAAATCCAATAAATTGAACACTGTTAGTGAACACATGGGAGTTTATTATAGTCTGATTTAAATGCTCAAATTTTCTAAACATAACAATCTAAAGGTGATAGCAATGACCATGAGGTAACAAAGAAAACTGAAGAATGAGTAATATCAAGCAAATTTCTGCAAGTTGGAAAATGATCAGTACCTCATACTAATCAAACTGAGCAGAAAGCCACAGGTCTAGGCTACATAAGGGCTTGGCCGCCAGAAAGCAAATCTGCCCAACAGACTTTGAGAAGCCCAAATACAAAAATAAAAGAAAAAAGGCCTAGCATAATAATGAAAAGATAAAAATGAAGTGAGGAAAGAATTAAGGCGAAATCCTGCAAATAAACCAGTCACCACTACCGCTGCAGGTAAAAGTGTAGATAGATAGGCATTACCCACTCCAATGTGGTGAATTGTGGCTATCCCGCCCAGCATGTTTCGTCCCCCTTTGAAATCCTAGTTTTCATTAGGTATCTGATGATAACTTCTGTGTGACCTCATTCACAAGTTCCAGAGGTAGATCCTGATTAATTAGGATAAATTTTGTAAGTTCATTCCTTTTGTCAGTGATTAATTTAGGAATGGAGTTGAGCTGATTGTTGCTAACAGTATGAAAGAAAATCTGAAGAAGTTTTTCTGCAAGTTTCCCAACTCCTGCAAGAGAAGAACAGAAGCCAGCATTGTGGCATAGTGGCCTGAGCTGCAGTGTGAGATGCTAGCATCCCATGCGAGGGTCAGTTGGATTCCTGGCTGCTCCACTTCAGGTTCAGTTCCCAGATAATGCACTTAGGAAATCAGCAGAGGAAGGCCCAAGAATTTGGGTACCTGCTACCCACATGGGAAGCCTAGATAGAGTTTCAGGCTCTGGCCCAGCCCTACAATGAAACCATCTGTTGACAAGCCTCACTCAAATATAAACAGAACTACTACTAAAGTCCAGCATCACAATCCAGAATATGAAGAAAAAAAAATCATCAGATATCTGAACATGTCAAGATCAAAAGAAACAAAGGGACAAAGGCAAGTAATGTACCAGAAGCAAAAGCAAAAGCAAAAGGTTAAGTCCAGAAGAAATAAGGATGATCAAACCAGTTCTAGAAGGGTACTTCAAAAAAATGTTGGATAAATGGTACTAATTAATAAGTTTATTTTGGTGCAATTTTTTTTAATTCCTGTATGGTTTTTTTAATATGTCTATTTTCATGATCTTGTAAGACCTCTCAAATGCACTGATTTTAAAAATGTTTTGTATCTACATACATTCACCTTTAAATTCCATTTTTCCATCAAGTATTTGGAGGTCCCCTGTATTATTCAGACAATAATAATCTTAGTAAAAAATAAAGAAAAGAGAAATTACCATAGAATTCTACAAAATGAATGATTTCAACATCTACTTATCTTATAAGTGGGATGGATAGCCCAAGCTTCAAATGTCTGCAATGGCCAGGCCAGAATTTAACCCATTGTACCACAGGGTGCAACCACTAAAAAGAATGATGTAAAAATAAGAACAAAAGACTCGGGGTGCATATTTCTGCTGCTCTGTCTTTTAAGTAGATGAAGACAAATTTTAAAATTTTTACAAAGAAGGAAAGATTCAAACCAAAATATATTATTGCTGTGAAATGTCAGACTACCAGCAACAGAGGATGCTATAACCTTTCAGACAAGAAAAAAACCCAAGTTACCTACAAAGGATCCACATCTACTCAGTGTGAACACTTCTCGTATATAGTATCACATGCCAGAAGCCAATGAATCAACATGAAAAATCCCTCTGAATTCTAGTTAAACTACCAGTTACACTTAATTTTTAAACATACAACTTGGAATATCCTTTCCTAGAATATTACTTCAGAGAGAGCTGGTTCAAGTCCTGGCTGCTCTACTTCTAATCCAGGGCCTTGTTTATGTGCCTCAGAAAGCAGCAGAGAATGATCCAGTGCCTGGGCCGCTGCCACATCTATGGGAGACCTGGATGGAGCTTCAGTTTCCAAGCTTTAGGTTAGCCCACCTGAAGCTGCTGTGGCCATTCGAAGCATTCAAGTAGATAAAATAAATCTTATATTTCAAAAAAAAAAAAAAAAAAAAAAAAAGCAGACACAGCAGGTTAAGCCATCACATGCAACACCAGTTCATGTGCTGGACATTCTAATTCTGATCCACCTCCCTGCTAATGGCCTAGAAAATCAGTGGAAGATGGCCCAAGTGTTTGCGCTTCTGTACCCATGTGGGAGACCTCCTATCTATTACCAAAGCCTGTAAGACTAAAGCAGAATATGGATTAACTTCAACACTGTTTAAGCACACTTGATCTTGAGAAACAAACAAGAAAACAGAAAGCGGGAGCCACTTAACAAAGTGGAGAGCATGCCTACACAGCATACCTATCAAAGCCCTCGGTCCAAAAACTAAAAAGTATTACTTTAAAAAAAAAGTTTTTGGGCGCAACGCAGTAGCATAGCAGTTAAAGTCCTCGCCTTGAACACGCCAGGATCCCATATGGGCGCCAGTTCTAATCCTGGCGTCCCTGCTTCCCATTCAGCTCGGCCTGGGAATGCAATCGAGGATGGCCCAAGGCTTTGGGACCCTGCACCCGTGTGGGAGACCTGGAAGAGGCCCCTGGCTTCAGACTGGTTCAGCTCCAGCCGCTGCGGCCACTTGGGGAGTGAATCATTGACACAAGCTCTTTCTCTCTGTCTCTCCTCCTCTCTGTATATCTGCCTTGCCAATAAAAATAAATTTTTTTTAAAGTGGGTTTTTTCCCCCAAGTTTTTCTGTTTGTTCGTTTTTAACTGGAAAGGCTGATCAAATTTGTGGAGAGAAGGAAAGAGAGAGATCTTCAATCTCTTGGTTCACTCCCCAAGTAACTCCAATGACCAGTGCTGAGCCAATTCAAACCAGGAGCCAGGAGTTTCCTCCAGGTCTCCCACACAAGTGCTAGGTCCCAAGGCTTTGGGTCATGCTCTGTTGTTTCCCAGGCCACTAGCAGGGAGCTGGAGGGGAAGTGGAGCAGCCAGGACATATGTTGTCACCCAAACTGGCATTTGGCAAGGCAAGTGTTCAGCCACTGACCCACTGAGTCACGGACCCAGGCCTCTGTTGTTTTCATCTTTAACAAAAACATGTTTGCTTCTGGGAGAAAAAGATGGAAAGATTTCTTCGCCACAAGCCCTATTTAAAATTTTTTAAAAGTACGATCTTCATTAGTAATACCCCTGATAACTAGAAAAGCTGTTCACATTAAATCCACCATATTTAACAATAAGAAATTCTCTTTAAGACAAAATGTTGACTTTAGTGTCTATGTTCTGATGAATTCACTGTAATTCAAAGTGCTTTTGAATGCCTAAGTTGAGACTATTTAATACCAACAAAAATAAAATTATATGTCAACTCAGACAATTGGAAGAGTAATAATTATTAAATAAACCAAGTAAAGCTACCTAATTAGAAAAAAAAGAAAAAAAGTTAAATCTCTTCCTCTACACTGACCAAATACAGGAAGATTAAATATGCAAATATGAAACCAGAGAAATACAAAGAAGACGGAGTTGAATATTTTATAGTGTGATGACAGAAGAACTAACTCTACCACAAAGGAGAAAACTACGGAGAAAAAGATACAAAAAAAAACCCCTAACTATATATAAACATAAACTTCTGTGAGTAAAGAGGAAAAAAAATGCTAAAAGCAAACTAAAGAGAAACATGGAACTTTAAAACAAACATATTCAGAATTTTTCAACTGAAAAATATCCCAACAGAGTTTAGGTGAAGGAAATTAAAAGAGAATCACCAAAGAATAACAAACTCCTCAAAGAAAACGAAACTGAGCCGACTTTGTCAGATGCTAACAGCGTGGGGAAGGGGACATGTCTTGCTGCAGGAGCAGTCATATACATTAGCGCATATCCAGACATCTAGCATAACTGCATACAGTGTAAGTATTCAGGGATTTCTATTGAGAAAATAAACATTCATATGCAGATTATTAAAAGTTGGTGGGAAAATGCAATTCAAAGACAATCTTACTTTGGTACAAAAATTTTCTTTTTGAAATCCATGTGTAGTTTTTCCACAGAACACATTTTCCATGAATTTGCAAAGATAGCTTGTATTTCTACCAACAGACACCCACCCATAGATACAGCGTCTGGTGGTGGGGAGGTAAACTGGCTGATGTAAGGCTGATAACTACTAATATGAGATAATTCAATGAGGAAATTAAAGGATGCTAGGAGTGGCCCTTCTTTTTATTTTTTTAAAGATGTATTTTTACTGGAAAAGAGAGGAGAGACAGAAAGATCATCCATCTGCTGCTTCACACCCAAAATAGCCACAACAATTGGAGCTAAGCCAATTCAAAACCAGGAACCAGGAGCGTCTTCCGGGTCTCCCACATGGGTGCAGGATCCCAAGGCTTTGAGTCATCCTCCACTGCTTTTCCAGGACATAAGCAGGCAGCTGGACCAGAAGTATAATATCCAGGACACAAAGTGGCGCCCATATGGGTTACTCAGGTGCTCAAAGGTGGAGGATTAGTCAGCTGAGCCATCGCATGAGCCCCAGGGGTGGCCTTTCTAAGCTGACACAAACTGGCTCCAGCATACCACTGTCCAGCTCATAAAATGCTGCTTATGTTGAAAAACCAGAAAAGAATTTACACTAAGAAAGAATTGGTTAACTAAGTCTTGATACATTCAGTAAAACTATGCAGTCATTTAGAAATGGTATGTCTACAAATATCAGTAACAGAGCTACAGAAATAAGCTTCCATGTTTTAGAGTATACCTCTCCCATCCCTGGGTACTGATGCAGTTGGGGCTGCTGGGAGCAGCCCTCTCCTCTTCTTTTCCTACTTTCCCCAGATACAGGAAGAAAAAGGGAGACTAGAAGCAGTTGTTCTATCTACTTTTCCCCATGCTTCAACCATCTACATTAATAGGTGGCCCACACAGGCATGCATACTTCTCAACTATGTAAACATCATCAAAATAAAAGAAATTTATGTAAAAATTAACATCAATTATTAAAATCTCTGCACTGCAACATATTCTTGGTTTAATTCAGCAAATTCTGGTTACATACTATATGTCAAGAAGAAACAGATGACCTAAACAGTCTATCCTTAAGGAACTAAAAACTGAGTAAGAACCAAAAACAAGTAAACAGATCATTAATGAAGAGAATAATTATCAAAGCAAACAAAACTTCACAGAGGAGATGACATCTAGAGGAAGATGGGGGAGGAGGGCATGTCATTCAAAAAAAGAACAGTACAGAAGCAGAGATAAAGGAAAGAGCACGGTTTGAAAACTGAATCCAGTGATGCTGGAGTTACTCTAGACCACACTTCAGGAGTTAGAACCCAGGTTTTAAGAAATGAAATAAAAGTTGTATTTCTTTCTACAGATAATGTGTCACCCTGATGTCTGTGTAATGAGTGATCTGGAATAAATTGAAGCTGGAAGAGTTACTTAAGGGAATTCTTCAAATAACCCAGACAAATGGTTTTCAAACAGTGCTTAGGGCACAAGCATTTTTATAAGCAACCAACTGCAGGGGAGGGTGGAGAGGGAGTATTCCGGCTTATTTGAGAAAACAAAGGTTTACCGTCGTCGTTTGAAGGGTGACTTTGGCATATCTGCTGTTGGGATCATCTGCTCTCCTGGCCTCACCCACATGATAGGCCCATCATCACTCTGGGACCTACACTGCAGCCGGAGGCTGGAAAGTGTACCCCAGGGCAAAGTCATCTGGAAGCAGATGCATGAGTCACATTAAAAAAACATTTTACAGGACTACCCACAGCATAATCCCCCACTCCAAATACACATTCTCAACAGTATTCTTCATATATGTATATAAAACATAAATGCTACACAAACAAGTTACATAAAAGAGAGCTGAAGTACTCTGAACCACTGTTTTTTAAACACTTTTATTAAAAAATCAGCTAAATTTTAGTTTTAATATGCAAAATTGACTTAATCACTAATGAACAGAATTCTAATCATCTGAATTAAATACTCACTTTTAAAAATGGAGATTCTTCTAACATATCAAGGAACTCTGGGAAATAATCACCAACTTCTTCATCTACTGCTCCAACAAGACTTATTTGTCGCATAGGACCTGCTCGGTAGGTGCCACAGCAGTATGTCCTGTTGACCTGAGGTAAAAGGAAAGGGCAAAAAAAGGACTGAAATTTGCTACAAGTAATGGATCAGAAAAAGGAACTGCTGCTAATGTTGCTATTTCCTCTACATTCTAAACACTCAATGAGTAGAAATCAACAGTTACAGAGAGGCATCCAAGCACAGTAGCAAATCCAAATGCTCTGAGATACGATACAGTATTAACCACAAATGGAAATTCCAATGTGAAACTCAGCCTATGGTTCTAACAACTCAAAGAAATACTGAACACATTAAAATAAACTCTAAGAATGATGGCTTTGGGGCTTTATAAACTTTTTAAAATATGAGCTTTAGGGAAAAAGCAACAACAATGAAAATGATAGGGCAAGGAGGAAAAAAAAGAAACCATGGTCAAATGATCTTCCCATATTTTTACATCAGGTCATGTGCCAGGTTGACTGATGCCAAACCCAGCCTCCCTATAACAGCCTCCTCTCAGGCTGCTGCTTACTCTGCCCAACTTAACACTCAATGTATTTCTACCTGTCATGATTTCTCTCTTTAATTTACCTAACTTGAAATGTCCTCTTCCTGCCAACCCATATCTTACCCTTCTTTTGAAGATCAGTTAAAAAGACCTTTTTCCCACAAGTCTTCTCTCCCACCCCCCTTTTTAAGATTTACTTATTTTTATTGGAAAGATTTACAGCGAGACGGAGAGACAGAAAGATCTTTCATTCACTAATTCACCCAAGTGACCACAACAGCCAAAGCTGAGCCAATCCAAAGCCAGGATCCTCCTCTGGGTCTCCCATGTGGATGCTAGATTCCAAGGCTTTGGGCAATCCTCCACTGCTCTCTAGGCCATAAGCAGGGGGCTGGATGGGAAGTGGAGCAGCCAGGACATGAACCAGGACCCATATGGGATCTTGGCATGTGTAAGGCAAGGATTTAGTCCCTGAGCCATCACTCCAGGCCCTCCCACAAATCTTCCTAGATACCCTCCACAATATTTCCTTTCCTGAAGTCTAAAATTGTGTACAAACACTAAAACAAGCTGACTATCTCTTACATGCGGGACGAGAAGTATTTCAGATTTTGGAATACTTTATTTGCCGAGTATCACTGATCTAAAAATCCAAAATGCTCCAAAATCTGAAATTTTTTAAAGTGCTGGACTAGGGCTGCTCAACCTGTTTCAACCCTATCAGGAATGTAAGGAATATGCTATACAAATCTGTACAGTACATCCTATTTAGCATTCAAATGGAATCTACTAATTGACTCCAAAAAATCTGACATTATTCCTCCAGCCACTTCAAGTATGGTCTCATTTTACCCTAACTTTTTTTTTAAGATCTATTTTTTTCAATTGGAAAATCCTATACAGATAGGAGGAGAGACAGAAAGGAAGATGTTCTGTTTGCTGACTCAGTCCTCAAGCAGCTGCCAATAGCCAAAGCTGAGCCAATCCGAAGTCTGGAGTCAGGAACTTCTTCCAGTCTCAAACACGAGTCAGTGTCCTGAGGCTTTGGGCCATCCTGGACTGCTTCCCCAGGGCACAAGCAAGGAGCTGGATGGGAAGTATGGCTGCTGGGATTAGAACCAGTGACCATATAAGATCCTGGGGTGTGCTCAAGGTGAGGACTCTAGCTGCCAGGTTACTGCACTGGGCCCTTACCCTAACTTTAAATTTTAAATGAATGTTTCTCAAGGAAAGGAAAACAAAATCTTGCATAATATGGTCTAGACTAAAAACATGGTGGCTCCTATTTAGAATTTTCACTTCAGGACAGTTACTGAGCAATATATATCAGTTAAACACAAATTAAACTGAAATGCTGAACATACAGCTGTAGCTTTATAATCTAGGCCTCTATTTTACATTATACATACAAAATTTAAGAGCCAACTGTTATTATTTCTCATCTATTTTGTCTAATAGAAAACAGTTGTTTACAGTCTTATACAATTCTTCACTAGTTCTTAAGTAGCATTTTTTAGAACTTAGTTTTTAGTCAATTTAACATCGCCCAAAAGCAAAAATATACAGAAAAAAAAATGTTAGATTATTTTTGAAAAAATATTTATTTGAAAAACAGACTGACAGAGAAAGAAACACTGAGACTGAGACAGAGGGAATGCATTCATTTGCTGGTTCACTCCTCAAATGCCTACAGCTGTCCAGTGTGAATCAAGCCAAAGCCAGGAGCCAGTAACTCCGCCCTGGCTTCCATAAGGGGCAAGTTCTAGAGCCATCCTCTGCTTCCTTGCCAGGCACATGTAAAAGCAAGAAGCAAAGCTGATGTCATGGCTCAACAGGCTTATCCTCTAATCTTTAATTGCTGGGATCACATAATGGGCACCAGTTTATGTTCCAAGTGTTCCATTTCCCATGCAGCTCTCTGTATATAGACTGGGAATGCAGTAGAGGATGGCCCAAAGCCTTGGGACCCTGCACACACAAGGGAGACCTGTAAGACACTCCTGGCTCCAGATCAACCCCGCTCTGGCTGTTGTAGACATATGGGGAGTTGCATGGATCTCTCTCTCCCTCTCCTTCTCTCTATAAATCTGTCTAATAAGAAAAATTAAGTCCTAAAAAAAGATCAGGAAGCTTGACTCTGATATGGAATGTGGTATTACAAGCATCAGTAACCACTAACCACTGCACCACAACTCCAGCCTTTTAGTTCTTGTTCTCCAATAGCAAAGATTTCCTACTTTCTTACAAATCGTTACCACACCATCACTCTAGGAGATCCCTACCTGGCTACCACTCAAGTCAGAATTAACTTGCCCACATCTATATGCATTATCCTGCACAGGTTTGTACGAGCCTCATACTAGAAAAGCCGAAGTGGACATCATAGAAAAGAGGACCATTATGGGATACCAGGATAAGGAAAAGGATGAAGGAAAGCTATTCTAATCATTATTCTAACTTTTCTAAACCAACTGCCGTAAAACAACAGAAGCAAATTTAACCTTCAATACTACTTCTAAGAATCACACATTATCAGGGACAGTAAGAAAAATCAGTTATTCCCCAACACCTTCCCAACTAGTCCCAACTCTCAGAAAATCATTTACCAAGAACAACTTCTAATCTATACAAAACAGTGGCTTTAAAAAAAAAAAAAGGATTTGCTCATTTATTTATTTAGTAGGCAGAGTGACAGAAACAGAAAAAGATTGATCCTCCATCCTCCATCTACTGGCTCATTACCGAAATGTCTGTAATGGCTGGGATTAGAGCTAGAGCTGGAGCGAGGCTAGGCTGAAGCCAGGAGCCTGGAATCCCATCCAGGCCTCCCACATGGGTTCCCAGAAACCCAAGCACTTGAAGTATCTTTCTCTGCTTTCCCTGGCACATTACCTGGGAGCCAGACCAGAAATGGAGCAGCCAAGAGGGGGTCATATGCGATGCTGGCATTAGGGCGGCAGTTTAACTCACGGCACCACAACACCAGCCCTGAGGGTACTGGTGCTCTATGGGAGAAATGCCTTAGAGATCTGTAATTTAAAGCTACTGAAACTCAGGACCAATTCTGGAAAGTACACTGCTATACGGCAGTCTGCAATTTAGTTGGTCTGCTAGCTTTTAAATTATGTAACTCTTAATGCATTATTAATTTGAAGGAATCCATATTACTTGAAATTTTACATACAAATTGAGACTGAATTATTCTATCACACTACTATAATTCAAACACTAGTTAAAGTGCTGAATTGAAAGACAACTTAAAAATGCAAACATCCAGGTTAGCTCCTATATAATGTGGAAGAATATAAAGCATCCTTTCCTATTTGGAAATGATTCATAAACCTGCAAAAGGGCAGGAAGGGACAACAGAACAGAGGTGAATGTAAGACAAAGGCAGCAAACTTTAAGAAGACATAATTTTGCTAAGACAAACTTGTCATTGCTCGTTTTATTGTCACCTACACATAAAGAAAAGCTTCCCATAATGATCTCTTGGTTCACACCTTTATGGGAGAACCAATACTGTATCCATGTAAGTATAAAGGAATTAGCAAGATTCAACTTTTATGTCATGGGAGAACCATCAAATAAACAAGTGTGCTACAAAAATAACAGGACCAGAACATAAAAACTACCACGTTTAAGGCCTATTTGGGACACTGCAATTGAATTAAGCTACCTAGAAAAAGGGTTTTTTAGACAACTTTACTGTTTTCAGTCTTTTGTTTACACTAAATGAGATCCCTGGCTTTATTTAACCTTTGTTTGTTTTTCTCAGTATCAGCCTCCTCCTTTTAGTTCCTTCTACCCTCTCTCACACTCCATCCTGGTCCTTCCCAACAGTCCTGCCTGCCAACTCTAAGCCTGAAACGTTCTAATCCTCAGTACTACCTCTGGACTTCTCTACTTCATAAGGCAATAAATTCCCTTTATCATTTAAGCCTATTTTAAAACTGGATATCCTGCCACTTACAATATTTTCCACATCAGAATCCCACTTATCTAACATCTGCATTTTCTTGTCTCTGCCATCTCACTTCATTTTCTATTCACTATTACGTCACTGCAGACTTCTGCCCACACCACTCGCCTGAAACACAGCCCTAGTGACTTCCTCACAAGCAAATTTAAGGTGTGTTCTTCACTCATGAATTTTTTTGACTTCCCTTCCAAGCTTCCTCCTCTCCAAAATGTGCTGACTGCAGAGTTGATTCACTTCTTATTAACATTTCAACCACATTACCTGTGGGTAAATTTACTACTGATGAACCTCCACCTGTACTTCGCTATAAGTATAAAGTGAAATCAATTTTCTTTTAAGAGTCCCTTCACCATCAAACCTTTTCCCCTGCCTTTTCTATTTGCTTCCCCAGTTGCCAATATATAGATTGTTCTTCCTTATCCCTTTTAACACACACACAAAAAATCTGCCCTTCTAAGACTGTAGTACCACTGCCATAAGCACTAATGACTTGACTACAAAGCACCTGAATCAGCATCCTCGCAATGGGGTTTGTACTGTCAAGAATCATCCTACATACTACT